AGTATCTGCTTACTTAAAAGCAGATGTTGTTTAAGAAGTACGTTGCTAAGTGTGATCAGTATTGAGGGTGAGCTTTGGAAAAGGCAGCTGCCTTCTCTTCTTTACCAGGAGGGATGACTCTCCCTGGGGCTCCCAGGGCCCTGTGGGCTGTGTCTCTGTCCTTGGATTCCCAAGTCTTCCTTGAGAATTGGTTGACCTAGCTAAGACTCGACAATGTATGTATGTGCACGGGAAGGGGTCCATGGAGAGAGGCAGCACTCGAGGAAGAGAGAAGTTCATCGCCTCGCCTCCCCGCCTCCCCTGCAGGGCCACTCCTGTCTAGAATGACGAGGGGTTTGGTGGGAAACAAGGTGGATGGTTTGTAATGACTGGGGCATCTCCTCCTTGGCACTGCACTGCATTTTCAGCCGGGAGGTAGGAGCAAGGCTTCCTTATTCTCTTCAACCTCAGGCCAGCCCTCGTTGAGCAACTGATGGTTCCCAGGAGATGCGGACAGCCCTCTCTTCTCTTCCTGCCATCACTTTGCTCCATTCTCTTCCTATCACTTATCCCTCTCTCTGGAAATCACTGTTTTTAGCTTCTATGTTAATTATCTGCCTCCTCCTAGAGTAGAAAGTAAAACCCATGAGGGCAGGACCATGTGGCCAACATGACAGGAGTTCAAGTCTTGGCATGAGCAGATGAATGGCAAGTTCTGGCAAGCCACAAAGAATCGCTTCTCTTCCAACTGCATCTGTGAGTAGTGTCTTCTGAAGGGACTCATGCAGTGAAACAAGAATGACCACAGTGCCCTTCCCCACTGTGATGTGTGGGGTGACTCGGTGGAGACAGGGCGGGGGGAAGACACCTCGAGGGAGTGCTGACACTCACTCATGCTGGGACCTCCCTGTTGAGACAAGATGCTGGTGTCACAGTATGGACAAAGAAAGGTATGTACTGATGCCATGCACTGAGATGAAAGTCATGGGAAGATCCAACCAGACCTGACAGGGCTGCAGGTCCCAGCCCTGGCTCCTCGTCTTATCTCCCAAGAGACTGGGGTCAGCCCAGCTTCCTGAGCTGCTGATGATACTGGACCATCTGGGAGAAGAAGCAAAAAAAGGTGGAGTAACTCCTTGGGCAGTAAGAGTCACATGGAGACCTTACAAGGCAAAAGGGTCAATTCTCCATTATGTGCTTTTCTTAATATGACAAATGGGAATGGACATCCTCACACAAAATTCCTGAAGACTAAAAAGCCTATACAGAAGATTCTGCCTGATGCTGAAATGTGGCTGAGAAAGAGCAATGTATCTGTGAGAAGGAAGAGTGCTCAAAGATGTCAAGGTCACAGGGGTAACTACTGAATTCCTAGGGGTCAAATTCAGAGTTGGTGGGATTTGCTGATAAGTCCAGGTTTCTGAGTTTCGAATGCTCCATGAAGAACTGAGATAAACATCTAGTCAAATGCAGCATGAGATGTCCACCCAACTCAGGATGGGGAAGGACCAGAAATACTTGGGAGAAACCAAGGCTTCCTAAGAGGTGTTTACTTCCCACACAGGAAGGACACCAACTATGGAGACTAACCGCCCTCCAACATGCCCAGGGGTCCCCACACTTCCACACTGAGTGTGAGCAGGCTGCAACCGAGGAGGAAGATGCGGTGGGCACACGGCCCGGCTTTGCCCTGGATGCTGCTGGAATCCGAGCCCAGTGGGGAATGCCCAGGAAGACTTCCCGGCCGAGCCTGGAGCCCCTTCCCCTAGGCTCTCAGAACTTGTCAACAAAGTAATTACACCCATTATTTCAACCAGATAAAAATGACAAATGCACAAAGATTAGAAGTAATTAAGCCTAGAAACAGGCTGGACTGGACAGCAGAGTCCCCAACACCCAGCCTAATTGTTCCAAAAGTTTTCACGGTAGAAGATGGGCAGTGGTCTGTGTGTGGCAGGGGCCACAACCATGGATTTCAGTCACTGAAGGGATGAGATGGAGGTGGACAAAAATTGGGGGACTTACCAAACTATAATGCTCTTCCTCTGAGTGCTTCTGTTGAGGGACAAAAAAATCTACAGCAAACGTGAGGACCCGGCAGATGGAGGGAGGCTGAGGAGAGCAGCGGCCAAAGCAGAGCGTGGCCCCGGACTGCGGACAGATGGCCGGGACACAGCCTCCACATGGACACACAGAATGCCCGGACCTGCGTGCCCAGGGCCTCACTCCGGAAACGCCTGCCCAGTCTCACCTTATAGACGTTCTCACGGGCAGAACCGAATTCCTAAGCCTGCTCGCTTTCCTTTACCATCCCCTGTACAGAGATGATGCTTCCACGTTTCCAGGTGACAGTTTAAAAGCTAAAACCCTTACACACATTCCCTCAATCATCCTGAAACAGTAGCCTTCCCCGAGGTGGATTTGTCTTGACAGATCTCAGCTCAGAGCAGACTTCCTGGTGGGGAACGCGCAAACGTGTGTGGCGCCCGGCCCTGCCCTGAGCACATGCCCAGCGGGGCTCTGTGTGTCTGGGGGGCTCTGTTATTTTAAGCTTCCTTCGAAAGCTCAGCATCACATGGTGCTCTGGAAAGAGTTCAGGTGTAGGGAGTGCAGCCCGAGGTCCGAGGAAGGGGCTGAGCAGCAGTCGGATGGGAGGGGTGGATGCCAAATTGTGGCATCATCAGGAATCCCGGGTTCCTGCTGTTGGTGAGCAAAGAGGCCCCCTGCCATCACCTCCTTCTCACTCGGGCTCCCTGGAGCTCAGGGTGTCGGAGAGCAGAGAGTAGCTTCCGTTGCCCCGGCGGGCATGGACAGCCCTTGCCTTGCACTCACCAAGCTGTGCCCACCTGAGTCAGGAAGGCCCCCGCGCCACCTCCAAAAACACTAAGGTAATGAGATGGATGAGCGGGGTGATGGGCGGAGAGAAGTGTGCCTTCCAGCGCCATGCAGGTGAGCCCCAGGAACCTGGCAACGCCAGTGGCAGGCGTGTGCAGTCTCTACACGTGCCGAAGCTTTGGGGGGGAAATGACAAAACCAAAACCCAAAACCAAAAATCGGACTTTCCCATGTGGCGAGCAATTCCAAACAACACAGACCTAGCACTACAGTTTCTTCCTTCCCTGGCATCGCTTTGGTCTCCCAGATCCCAAGAGGCGCAGAACTATGTTTTAAAGGTGTTGTAGAGGGAGACTGAGCCCGATGGAAGAAAGGGGTCACCAACCTGGCCAGTCAGTGGGCACAAGGTTTGCTGCCCACCCGACCTTCAACCTTTTTACATGGTCTGCAGGGCATTTCACGAGATGGGCTCCCACACCCTCCTGGTGAAATCAAAGTCACACGTGGGCCATTCATAGAAGGCAGGCCACAAGCACCTAATCTGGGATCCCTGTGAGGAGAAAACAGCGTCCAACGGAGCCTCTCATCCCTCACAGTGCCCCCTATACACGGCAGGATGGGGCACCAGGGCGCCATTATGTGGCCGGGATTGGGAGGGAACTGCCCGCCCCAGACATGGCAGCATTTCTAATGAAGTATGTGTGGTTGGGATTTCCTGTCCCGAGGCTTCAGCCTCGAGCCCCTATTTCCACCGGAAAACCCCACTGTAGGATTCTTGATGGCAAAAACACAGATGTTGACCAACCAGCACCAGTGAGAGACAGCATCTTTGCTACAGTCCCCACCAAGATTCAAAGCCAGGCTTGGGTTCTAGAAAGAGCAGCGACTTGTCCAGCAACGTGTGTGAGACAAATGTGGAACCCACTACAGGGCACAGCTCCCGTGGGAGTAGCCTGGATCCTTTGCACACGGAATTATTTCTCATTCTCAAACGAACGGGGGCCGTTGTGTATTTTTGAGTTCTGTTCTGACATACGCACACACATTATAAGGATATATTCCTTTAATTTTTGGAACTGGAAAACTTTCTTTAATTCGGTCTATGCTTGTAGAACACAAAGATGGTCAAGAATCCACCACCCACCCAAGCTGACGCTCAGCCCCATTTGTAAGCAGCCGGCTATATAAATGTGTGCGTGGCTGTTAGGTAGCTTCTTCAAACGATTAAATGAAAAAAAAAAAAAAAAGATCGTACTTATGTGTCTCTCTCTCTATATATATGTATGTATATAAAACCATGGCATTCTTAATTCTGGCCCAAGATAATAAAGTATACATTTAGTGCCACTCACCAGATACCAGCGAATGCAGGATGTGTCATTGAGGGGTCTCTTTGCGTGGGTCCAGGCTGTCCCCCGGGATGGATGGCCATGGGATACCAGGTCACCAGAAGGAATATGCTCACTCGTGGAACTGCATTTCCAATATATGCATATATATGCATGTGTGTGTGTGTGTGTGTGTGCGTGTGTGTTCCTGTGTGCGCAGTATGTTGCCAAAGTAGAAAACACCAGTTTATTCTGTTCGTACTAAGCATGTTAAATAAATCAGATTCTGTAACCGATAACATTTTTTTTAAAAAGGAACATTGAAGATCTTCAAAAATTGCTACAGTACAAAAAAAGTGTGTGTGTGTGTCTGTGTGTATTTATATATTTATATATGTATATTAACCAGAAATAGCGACTCTATTGGAAGATTCCCACCCACTGTTTTCGGTAAGATTTCTACGCGTGGTTCGCTTGGCTTCGCCTTGGTCACCAAGTCCTTCGGGTCAGTACATGGCACATAATGGTATTATTGGCAAAGGTTCAGAATCAGTTCAAATCCCAGGCTCCAGGTGCTTCCTGCTGGCCTTTCTTCTCTGTCTCCAGCTTCTTTCTTGCTTTTCTTCTTTCTGCTCTCCAAAGACAACTCTGGCAGAAGGCAGTCCCCCATAGGCGTGAGCATTTTTATAAAAATATATTTGGCCTATAGCGTCCTGCTCTTTGAGCGTCCCACCGGCAAACTGAAGCGGTAGGTATGGGGACCCTCCCCGTAGAGAGTTTAGTTTTAAGTTTTGTGTGTGTGTGTGTGTGTGTGTTTTAATTTTTTTTTTAATTTTTATTTATTTATTTTTTTTACAGGTTCACCAACGGAATCCTGTGTGGAAGGAAAACAAGAAGAGATTAAATAGCAGGGAGCCACGGGCAGGATGAGTCTGTACAGCCCCTCTGAGACTTGCCGGCTTGCAGACACCGGGGTCTCCTGCCCTGGGCCCCGGGGATTGGAGCACATGCTAGGAGTCCCAGGGACCTCGTGCTAATCACAGTAGCTGATGGAGGAGCTGTTGCTTCTGCCCAGAGTGGGTCTGGGCGTCCTGAGAGGGGCTGGGATCACCCCTGCATTAACTACGAGAGGGCCGTGCACCGCAAGCCTGCAAGTGACTGTATGCGTCCAGTGCCAGGCTGACCCCCTTTTCAGCTCCTACCCACCAGGAGCAGAAGTGCCGCCCGCCCCATTCCTGGATGGTGGGAAGCAATGGAGTCCATTTCAACCCACTGCTCAGCCGGAGGCTCACTGAGGCTGGGACTTGGGGAGATTAACCGGTTGCATCAGAAAAACTGACCCCTCGGTCTACCCAAGAGGTGATCTTGCTGAAGAAAGAAAGAAGGCGCGTGCTTGCAAGCCAAGTCGGCTGACTGCAAAGAAGGGTGGCTCTTCCCAACCTGGGCATACCTAGCCTCAGAAAGTAGAAACCCCAGAGTCTTCCCGCCTCCGTGACAGACCCCAGAGGTCAGCATCTCCTAGAGAGTCAGAGACCTGCGGCTGTTCTGGGCATGGCCAGGGGCGTTGGAACACACCATGGCTCAGCCTGGAGGCGCTTCTGCTGGAAGGATGGGGCACTGTTTCTCTCTGCTGTCACTTGGAGCCCCCCCCCAGCCCACAACTACAGGAAACGAGGACCCTCAGACAGTACAAAGGGGTAGGACGCTGCACCCTCATCTATGCCGGTGAGACAACTAGACGAGGGACAGTAATTCCAAAATGAAACCCAGAGGCCATGGGCTGGAGCCCTGGCAAGTCCGCGGGGGCTCCCGGCCCCACCGGACTGGCCTCATCCTAGTCACCTGCTGAGCACTTCAGAAACACACACGCCTGCACCCGCCTCCAGAGGCCCAGACGCAGGTCCTCAGGGTAGGGCCTGTGGATACAGCTTTCTACAAGCTCCCCAGGAGACTCTGATCCTGTGCCGGGCCTGGGCCCATTACCTCTGTCTCAACAGCCGAGGGGGTAGGGTGCTTTGTCCTGACCTGAATAAGCCTGCGGGGCGACCCTCCCCGGGACTGGGGGCTGCAGGGTGCCCAGGCTCGGGGAGGCGGGAGGCTGCTCGGCACCGTCTGCACCAGGAGCTTCAGCACGGACATCCTCCTCCACTTGGGCTGGGCGTGGAGGAGAATGTTTCCTCTCCGGGAGCCCTCCTGGTCTGGACCACACAACAAGGCAGGGCCCCTGGCTGCCGCCTCACCTTAACTTCTACCTTAGTATGACACATTTGAGCAACCCCAGGAGGCCTAAAATGGAACATCTACTCATCTCCCGAGGGACTGCACGCTCTGCTGTGGGCAGGGTGTCATCTCGTGTGAAGAAATAGGACTTCTGGTCAGGTGGGTGCTGGACCACCCTCGGCAGCTTCACTCCCACGGTGCCCTACCCCTGCTCACCTCCGCTTTCTAGGATGGGGTGGGGGTGGTTTAAAAAACGAAGCCATTAAAGAGGAGAGTAATGTCCCTCCTGTATGTCTGCCCTCATTCTAATTTTTGGAAAGCTAAAAAATGTGGAGACAAATGCTCCATGACTCCACTCATACGAGGAGTCAAGTGCAGAGAGCCTGAGAGGAGAAGGGGGCTCCAGGGGCTGGGGGAGGGGGTCAGAGGGGGTCGGTGTTTCACGGGGGCAGAGTTCCAGTTCGGGATGATGTGGAGGTTCTGGAGAGAGGTGGTGGTGAGGGATGCACAACGTTGTCAATGTGCCCGATGCCACAGAACTGCACTGTTAAAAACAGTGGAAATGGTCCATTCTGTGTCAGGTACACGTTACCGCAACTTTAAATTTTAAAAAAAATACACATCAAAAAAAATATGGGCACACGAAAGACTGTGCCTGGTGACCGCGGGCCTAGGTCTGGCGGCCTGGGACCCTCTCTGGTTTGAGCAGCGCCCCCTCCTCGCTGGCATGAGGGTCCTGGGTTGGAGCACCTGTCAGACGGCTGTCCCCTCCCGAGGGGAGGTTTCCTGCGAGGACCGCTGCAGGGCTGCCGTCAGGTCCTTTATTCTGACGGTAACCAGACCGATGGGGGTGATAGGTGCCGCCTCGTCCCTTCCCCCGTGCCCGCCATTGCGTGGGGGGTCTTCCGTATGGAGTTTATGTGGCCACTGTCCCACCTCACGTCTTCAGTGCTTCTGACCCCGGACAAGGTCCTGCCTCCTCGTTCCGTGTTCTTCGAGTGCTTGCAGACGGTCACCTCCCTGGGGAGGCCTTCCTGGACAGCCCCTCCTCTCCCAAATGCCATCTCTAGTTCATCTTTGTCTATTCGAGCTCGCTCTTGTGGGACTTTGCAGGTTCAGGACGAGCCACGTGGGCTCTCCTGAGTGTGTGCACGCCATGTGTCATTGCAGGTGTCACGGGGTGCCTGCTAGGTCCGCCGAGGCTCCAGCTCTGTGCCTGGCCCAGAGTGGACCATCAGTCCTGGACGCAGCTCAGGGAAGAGACATCTGTGTGGGAGTAGCCTCGTCCTTGGCCCCGAGACTCATGGCCTTCAGGTGCTGCCTGCAGGTGGGTTCTGACTCCTGCATCCGAGGACACACGGAGGGGCCCTTGTGCTGCCGGGGATGGAGACTCTTCCAAACCTACCGGCGTCTGTCTCAGGACGAGAGAGGCAGAGAGAGGGGCAGGGAGGTGGCTCCACTCTGTGCCCTGCATTCCACCTGAGCAGCGATGTTGGCTTCCTGCAGAGGGGGATGGGTTCCCTGCAAAGGGTTCCGGCAAGGGCGGCATCACCCCGTCAGGCCGGGAGAAGGGGCGTGAGGCTGCCCGCGGCCACCTTCCACGTCTGCCCCACGTTCCTGCTGCTGGCACTCAGCTCCCGGGAATGCTTCGGCTTTCTGTTCCCAAGGCTCGGTGTGTGACCCTCTCAGCTGGGCACTAACCCTGAGAGGGACCTGAGAGGGCCGTGCATCCCAGGCCAATGGGAAAGACAGCCAAGAGCATGCCCCTCCACGTCCTGGCTGGAGACACATGGCAAGGGCATCCACACCTGGTTCCCCGCCAGAAAGGGAAGCAGCGTGTTGCAAAGTGATCTGAGAGATTGGGACCTGGGATGAATTCTGACTTTGGAGAAACTAGTGCCCTCTGCTGCCTGGAAGGAGATTCTGAGCTTTGCCTGGCCCCACCAGCGGCAGACCACAGGGCAGGCCCAGGCTCAGAGATCAGTGTCTGCTTTTGCAAAACAAGGAACGGACCGTGGCAAGAGCACCCCAGAGCCAGTGGCTGCTAGTCAATTTCTCCGCTGCTGCGTCCTGAAAGGGGTACTTTGCCCCCAAGTTTGCCTTGCTGCTGGTGCTTGGCTAAAACAGACCAGTTTGCAGCGCGGTCTGCATGTTGCTTTGAAAACAGTGTTCCTCTGAATTGCAAAAGCTGGGTATTCTGTTATTTTTTTTTTAGAACAAAGCGGGAAGGCTCAGGTGCATTTCTCGGTTTTTATTAGTTATGTCTTCAGTGTGTTTTTGAAAATAATAATAATACATGATTTATTTCTTACTGGCTTCAGATGCGAGAACTTTTATTACTTTTCGGGCTCTCTTGGGAATAAAATGGCCTTGGCAAATGCAAAGATCTGAACACTAATGAGGTTTTCTGAAGTTTACTTGTTATATGAAAAATGACAGGAAATTAGCCCAAGAGCCAAGGGCAGGCGTGTGTCCTTGGCCCCTTTCCTCAGTGGGCGGGAAGGTCAGGACAACTGGGTGCCACCGTGGAGGTGGTCTGAGGCAGGAACTTGCCGGAATCGACTATAGAGGCCGAATCAGGGAGACAGGGTGAACATCTGCCCAGACGCGGGTGTCTGTGTCTGGGACAACCCGCCCGCAGGGCAGCGAATTTGGCCACTTTTGGGTCCCACGTGTGCATGGGGGTTAGCACGAGTGGGCAAGACGGTGCGGTAACAAACTGCTCTGTCATCATTACAAATGCATTTGGAGAGGCTCAGCAACTATGGCAAGAGAGAAATATCTCCACCAGCTCTTAAACCTTAATTAAATGTTTTAGTATTAATTGCTATTTATTTAAGGGACAGTAAGTACCTTAGTAAATCTGAGCGATCTTCCTGGCCATTCTCCGCTCGATGCTCAGGTCCAGGCATTAAGTGCAAGAATCAGGGATACTTAGAATCCAAATACTTTCCTCCCAGTGAGTGATAAACGGTCTGTCTGGCACGTGGCGAAGGAATCTTTAAGCATTTATCAAAGGCTAACAAGACTGTTTGCGGAGCCCTCCTGGTCTGCGTCTGAGGGAACAGGCGCCAGGTGTGGCGGCTACGCATGGCCGGACTCAGAGGAGGTCCTGTCTCGGCTCTTCTCACCTCCCCAGACGGCCTGCCTGGGGTCCACAGTGAGCGGGTCAAGCTCTTCGGACACAGATGTGTCCCTTCCTGCGAATGGAGGTGGTCCTGAGATAGTTCCTAGGCAGGTGGGGGTCCAGACACCCTGAGAGGAACGTGGTCCAGGCAGGGCCCACCTGGGAGTGGCAGACGGGGTGAGCCCACCAACAGCTTGTGGGGGTCCTTTGATACCCTGAGTTGCTAGAAGAGAGAACTGAGACAGAAAAGCTTTCTGGAGCACAGGAATCCATAAAAGCACTTTTCTACTATTTTTTTTTAAGTCAGGGCTGCGACTCCTGGTTCCAATGTGGGTGAGGAGGCTGGTGGCTCAGGCTGTTGGGCGCTCAGGAGCTGGTCTCCCATCTGCAGAGCCGAGCTGAATGTCCCAGGACGCCAGTTTGCTGGAAAGCCCACCTCCAGCTGCACCGAATCTCCTCCCACTTGGGGCCGGGCTGGGGGTGGCACAGGGGACAGCGCACGGGGGGGGGGGTGTGCTGCAACCGGGAAAGAGCCAGGCCGCCTTGGGCTGACCTGCCCCACCACGAGCAACCTGACTGACCCCAGGCACGTCACTTAACTGCTTCGTGCCTCAGCTTCCCCTCTGTAAAGTGGCATTTCTGGGGGGACACTGTGAGTCCCTAGATGTCAAGAGTGCTCCATTACTGTCCCCCCGAAAGTCCACCTCAGGGGACCTGCCCTCCAGCCCCCGCTGGTGGCGGGGGAGCTCCCTGGAGTGAAGAGCATGCCCACCTCCAGGCTGTGAGCCTTCAGCTCTTGAAGGAAGGGAGCAGAACCCTTGACGTGCAGGGCCAGATCGATGTCTTATGTTTTTATGCATTTTTAAAATCCTAACAGGGATACTGGCGACCACTGGGCCATCCTGCAGAGGGTTCACCAGGCAGGCAGGAACTCCGCTGCTAATAAGCAGCTCCCTGTTGCTAGCCTGGTTGGAACTCCAAAGGGAGCTCTGTCCCTGGCCTTAATGAGGTGAGTCCCATTGAGGCAGACAAAGGCACCAGGTTCTGAGGGATGGGCCATGCAGGCGCATCTGGCCCTTGAATGGTCGGGGACAGAGTGTGACTTACCTAACTTGCCTGCACAGTCTCAACAAAGGCCTTTTGTGGGGGTAGGGAGGAGAGCTTTCCATTCTTGTCTAATCACATTTCTTTGCCCGATGGCTGAATATCATGCTAAGCAAGCAGGTCATTTTGGCTGCAGGACAGGAAGCGAGGGCTGGAGATTTGATTTGGAGCAAACACTTGATTCATTAGGGCTGGATTAGGACCGACCCATTCACTCCTATTTCTGAAAGCTGTGGGTTCCTCCAGCCCCTGGTTTTGTGCTGCGAGCCGAGCCCCCCAAGGGGCACACGGACGCCCCCAGCAAACACCTCCCACCCACTCTGACAATGATTCCTGCCTCAGAAGGTGGGCAGAAGGAAGAAGCAAGTATTTTCAAATATCAACAACCCAAACTAGAACCTGGGTTCCCTACTCAGGGAAGGGATCTGATGTCACAGAGTATCTGTGTTTGAAAAAAAAATGAGGATCCTTAGAAAACCCAACATCAAAAAGAAAAACGACCAAAAAGCCCAAAGTCCAGGTTGCATCTATTGACTGTGTGTAGACAATGTGCAGTCATGGGGGCAAAATGCACTTTCTCCCCCAGCAGCCTGAGTGTTCGGGAGACTCGGTGCAGAAGAAAGCAATTTACCCTTAGCATTAAAGTTAGTATCACTGAAAGCAAACCAAATGTTCCTATTCAGCAGAGCGTGGAAAATTCATCCTGTTTTGGTGCTGGTCCCTGGCTTCAAATTAGTAGATGTCTCAACTCTTTGCTTCCTTCTTTTATCTTTTACCTTCTTATCTCTTATTTTTATATTCCAAAATTGTGTTTTAATTCTGCTTCGAGCCCTCTCTCCCCCCGCTGCCCCCGCCCCCGATGTAGAGACATCCGATGCAGGTGTGATGCCTGCCCGCGTAGCCGCTGCCCTGGTCCCTGTCTGTCGAGAGGCCGGGTTTCCCTGCCGGCTGGGGCCTTCCCTGGGGCTGGGACGGCGCTGCCACTCCTGGGTGTCTGTCCCTCCCTCCACGGGGGCATTTCTAACAAGTGCAGCAGAGAGACCACAAGCCCAGCGCTCCTGGCTCGCATTCGGGATGGCAACGCCATTGGAATTCCACCTGCCATGTCTAGAAGGGCTCCCAGTTGTCCCAGAGTGGAGGCAGGGGTGGGGAAGGTGAGGCAAAGGGGGGAAAAAAATCGATCGATGTCCAAAAAAAAGAGGTACGTACCATAAAACAGACACATGGCGTCTGCCCTGCCCCCAGGAGGTAAACAAGACTTCGGCCAGTCAGCAGGAGATTTCAAACCATTTCTCAGACACAAAGGCCACAGGAATAAGATGCCGATCAGAAGGAGAGGGTCTGCAGCGAGCAGAAAAACGGGCTTGTGTGCACTCGTACAGAACACCGGACGAGCAGGCCGCCTGAGGCCTACTGCCGGAAATTGGCTTCTTGAGTCGAAAAGAACGCAGAAAGGTAATGCTCAGCTGGGACCCACTGGCCTTCGGCAGGAAGGGGGCCCCCTCTCCCTGTGGCCAGCTAACATTCACGTCCACCCTGGAAGGCCCTGGAGGACACAGAGCCTGAAGGAGCCGTGTACAGAAGACATTTTAGCTTTTAGTTTTTTAATTTGCGGGATAAGCCCAAAGCTTGGGGTCTCCCCCTCCAAGGGCAAAGATTCCACCCACTTTACTGCACATGATGGAGTGGGCAGGGCCTGACTCCTGAAATGGGTCTTCTGTTATTTGTCACCTTTGAGACCTAAGTTACCATTTCCAAAGGCCAGGGAGAGCCAACAGAGCATTGCCTTAGGCCAAAAAGCAAGAACCCGTTCCATCCAATGCCTCCGAGCCAGGGCTCAGTGTGCCCACCTTGCAGCTGCACCCACCTTGCACGTGGTCAGGGCAGGGCCAAAGGGGGACCAGTGGGAACAGTGATGGTCACTTGGCAACCCACCCCCCGTTCCCCAAACTGAAACACTCGTTGGCCAGCACTCATATCCAAACCAACACACATGCGTTCAGTGAAATGGTTTGAAAATCCTCTTGCCAATTCTTTGTGAACTAGGCCTTCTGGAAGGCTGTGATGCAACTGAGGAGCTCCCCAAATGTCGCTGAGTCAAACAGCGTGGGCTGCAAGGACAGTCCTGAGGCCCCTGTTCTCCACTCTCCTGGGCTGGGAAGGGAGCATCCCAGGGAATATCGTGGAGTCCAACACAGAGATGCAAGAGGAGGAGCTTAAGGAAGTTCTCCCCGTTCTCACAGCCAGGATGAGGACCCGTTAACTATGAGCAGCACAGCTAAATGTCACCCCGAGTCTCCTCGACCTGGGTTCTGGAAGGAACGCTTTCGGGCCCCTTGGGCGTTCACAGCTACTCCTGCCGCTGACAGTGGGTCCCTCGGGTCCTCCTGGTTTCCTACTCATTTCTTCCTAACATGTTTAAGTGGTTGGAGAATTTTTTTTTTTTAATTTACAAAATGATGCATATGTGCATGCTCACTTAAAAAAAATAGCTTATTGATATTTTAATCTAATTCCGGATAAACCCTCGGAAGCTGACTCGAGGGTTTCTTAAATGTTCCCAGGGATGGTTTTAGGGTCATGTCTTCTTGGAAGGATTACCCATGATTAATAAAAAAGAGCATCGAATAACCAGGAGTCTGGCTGGTATTTGATATTTTTGCAAGATGCACTGGTGACATTTTATTGATGGGCGTTGAGAGAGACTGACGGGGAGTGTGTGGATATCAGGAGACCCGGTGCCACAAAGCCGGCCAGGATGCCTGCTCAGCCCCCAGCACATGGCATCCAGGGTGGGGAGGGCCTTCTGCCCATCTGCAAGGGTGCGGTCCGGAAGCGAGCAGGGCTGCTGCTGGGTTCTGTCTCTGGGTGGTGAAACACCTCCTTCCGTCTAGCCCGCCCCTCCCGTTTCCCCAGACCAGCTGCGTGCATTTGCTCGGCCCCCCAAAGACACGTGCAGGGTGCCCCCACCCCAGGTCGACGATGCTGTGGTGGCAGGGCCTGGCCCAGGCCTGAGCTTACCGGTTCCCGTTAAACGTGGATTTGTACTCGGCTGTCGGGTGCAGCGTCTCGTCGGTGTACACGGGCACGGACGCCCGGACACACTCGTGGGAGCACTGGAGGGTCTCATTATAGGCTGTGAATATGTCCAGGCTGCTGGGCACCCGGGCAGGGGTGAAGTCCGTCAGGTTCTGGCAGCTCTCCTCCTGCTGGTTGATCTTCCGCTGGTGGCTCTTCCGACGCGTGTTCCCGCTTTGGGCACAGCTGGAAGACAGAGGAGTCGGGGTGGGGGTGCGGCGGGCAGGTGCCGAAAGCCAGCCTCAGACTACGGAGCCTTAGCCTCCGGGCATGAATTATCCGTCATTTAATATTAGATGGTAATCCCCAGCCTCTTCAGAAAGATCAGCCACAATCAAACAATCAGCTCACTCTCTCTCTCTCTTTTTTTTTGTTAATAAAATTTGAATTTTAAATGTGGCCATTACTGCAGGGCAGATTATGAGATAAGTTTCTGAGCTGCGTTCTTCCAGAGCTGAGGCCTTGTCTGGCTGAAGGGTGGCAGCCAGGCGGGGGTGCCGACTCGGTTTCCCCATGAAGGGTTGAGTACAGGTGCGGCTGGTCTGGTGGCTCATTCTGGAAGGGACTCTGTAACCATCTGTGGGGAGAATTATTAAGTGGGGAGCCCTGCACCCTGCCCATACTCCCAAGTTGGAAATGAACGTGGATCGTCCATTCTTCACGGGTACCGGGTCTGTGGAGAGAACTCTCCTGAATGCCCCATGGGTCCTGCCCCGTCCCTCTGGACCCCAGGGCCTTCCCAGCGCCACCAAGGATGGACACGGGAGTCCCACCCTTGTCAGCCAAGCGGTTTGGGGGAGCGGACCATTGGTGACCTCTCCCAGGCACTTCTGGCAAGTCACAAGAAGGATAAGTGGAAGTCCCATCCCCATGGAGGAGGGCAGCTAGGAGGAAATCTGGGGAGCCCCCAGTCTGCGGAACCAGTTCCCCTTCTCCCCCTCCCTGCTGTGCTCAGAGCCAAGGCGGAAGGAAGTGGCTGTGAGGGGTGAGGGTCCATGAGCCCATCTTCGTGTAAGTCACGAACATGCCCTGCCTCATCTTTCCAGCGAGAGGAGCCCTGGCTCCTGGCGGAGAAGCCCTACCCCATAAACAAAGGGGGGAAAACCCAGGGGACTCCCCTCGAGGTCATGGAACCCCCTCGTCCACTGCCTGGGTTGTCCTCCCCGGAAGAACTCTCTGAGGCTTCGCTGCAAACCCAAATGCGGGAAACCGAGAGGCCACAGCCTCCTCCGTCTCCTGTGGGGGCCGTCAGGATGGTCAATGGAATTTGTCCAGCCACAAATCCATGTGGTCCTGGGCTCCAGACCAGGACCAGCCCCTGCCCAAGATGCCCTGTGGCGAGCTGAGGGTCGTCCCCATCACCTGTCACAGAAAACGCCCTGGGTCTCGGGTCTGCTGGCTTTCGGGAGGCCTCGCTGGTTTGCTGTGAGGTCCCACCCTGGCACCTCGGCTAACCCTGGAGACTGGCTTTCTCTCGGATTTCCGTTGTCTAGACCCTCGGGAGTAGTTGCTACCCATCAGCCCCATTTGACCTCCTGTCACCACCAGCCGGCAACAGGGGCACCGTTTGGGTGTATTACCCTACAGGGGAGTTCGAGCTTTGATGCTAAAAGGCGACACATTTGCTGGAGGAGGGGCTGCAGGCAGATGGGGCCTGGGAGGTGTGTGTGCAGCAGGGTCACCCAGCAGTGCCCCGGTTTTCCCAGGGGTGTAGCAGGTGTGTTCACCTAGCAAGGCCAACCTCAAAGTAGGCCAATTTCCAGGAGGAAATAGGCAAAAACAGGCTGCCTGGAGCAAAGCAATAACCTAGTTCAGCAGACACAGAGCGGCCACAAGAGGAAGGAAGGATTCAAAGCGGTGGGCGGAGCACAGCCCCTGGACAGCCAGGGGCAGCGAGGGGTGGGCGCGAACCTGCCCGGGCTGCTGGAGTGCTGGGTGGGCGGCATCGAAAGGCACACCTGAATGCAGACACAGGCTTCGGAAACCCCAACACCTGCTGCCTGAGAAACTGTCATGGAGGCCGGGCTCACTTGCATTCTGCAGAGAAAGCCACGGTCAGGGGCGCGCCCCCGCCCAAGGGCAGTATCAGGGAGAGCGGTGCCTGTGGCTGGCCAAGCTGCCGTGGGGCTGAAGGTGAGCAGGCTGCATCAAGGCCAAGAGCTGCACCCGATTCTCTGGCCCAAATGAGAAAAACAATGCTCTGGGATGCGATGTGGGACCGGCTCTGAAAAGTAGGAAACCCTCTGTGCACACTTCCCGGGGGGACCCCCACAGCCCCCATGTCCAGGCCAGAGGGGCCGAGGAGCCTTACCAGTTTTTTAAGACAAGAGTTGTAATCAGAGCAGCTATGACCATGATGAGGGAGACAGTGATGGTGATAATCTGATGAACAGCCAGACCTGGAAGAGAGGAAGGGGGGGAGGGCAGCCATGAGACCCGGGCATGAGACAGAGGAGCCCAGGAAGGGCGGGGCCTGCTCCTGTCAACTCGGGTCTCTCCTTCCCCACGGCAGGGGCTGGGCACCAGGGCTGTGGTCACCTGGAGTCCAGGAAGGGAGGCCCCAGCCCCGGCATCTCTTGGCTCCCCAGCTGTGACCCGGCCCACACGGGCAGCTGTGTCCTTTCTTGCACCTGTCAAGCTCCTCACCTGGCCCAGATGAGCTCTGGCTGAGGCACGCCCCCCAGGACCTGTCACTCTTCCTTTGCCTCCTCCCACCTGGGTAAGTTCTGGATTCTGAGCACAGGTCTTTGAGTGGGAGCAGGTCTGGCCTGACACAGGAGGGGCCGAGGCAGCCCAGGATTTGTTGGGAAGGTAGGGGACAGTGAACATGGGTTGACCTCCTGGCAGACTCAGGGGTTACCTGGATCACTGGGGAGTATCTTCCTCTTTCCAGAGTCCTCTCCAAGATGCTCACTGCCTGATGAGGTTCCAGGAATAAAAGACCCAGGCCTAGCAGCTGATGCTTCCCCAAAGCCCAGAAAAGGATCTGCAGTCTGGCCTCGCTGCCCTGTGCCCTGCTGTGTGTGTGCATGGGGTAGGAGGGTGCGGGGCGTAAGGAGTGGAAACAGCAAGTCAGGGACAGAAGCGGGGCAGCCTGAGCCCCACCGAGAGCTGTCTGCTGACCCCCGACAGAGATAGCAGAGGACAGGGATTCCCTCCTATACCGTCCCTCTGTTCCCCACTCCCTGTACCACCTTCCACTAACCACGGATGCAGGGGATGGGCGGCGAAGCTATGTTCCTCCTGACAACACATCTGTCACATCCTTCCTGGAACACGGACACTGGGGGCATGCCCAGCAGATGCCACTGGTCCATAAAAGCCACCTGCAAAGGCCCTGTCCTCCTCTGATCAGGAAGAACCCTACCCGAGGAGCTGGGCCACAGAGGTCTTGGGGGCTCTGCAGTGAGCCCTGCAGGGGGCAGCACCTCGTCCCACTGAAGTGCTAATTCCCCCTGTTCTTGCACCTGGGAGGTGTAAGCACTTGCCTCTCTCCACTCCAGAGGCCCGCCCATCAGCCCCGAGGAACCCAGCGGGTCCTGGGGTGAGAACAAGACACACGTGTGTCCCAGCGTGGAGGATTTCAGAATGTAAGATTTTTCTGGCGGTCTCCCAAGGACACAGTCTCACAAACAGATGTTACCTCTCTACTGAATATGATCCTCGTGGGGGAAATTATTAATAAATGATTCAAAGTTGGCATGACCAGAAAACAAGCTTTCTCTTCCTGTTTGCCCATCTTCTGGGCTATTTCTGTTGTCGTCAGGGATTCCCATCCTGAGCCCACAGGATAAGCAGCGCTAGGAAAACTGGAGAAGACATGAATGTAATGGAAATCCCTTCATTAATTCTTTTATCCACTGATTCAAGAACCAGTTACAGAGTACCTACTGCATGCCAAACATTGTCAGTATTGACGAACTCAGCCATGGTACCCGCCTTTAAGGAGCAGCTTCTCTAGTGCCCATTTTTTCACTTGATCTTAGCCAAAAGGCTGAGAAGCGATCTAGTGCCCATTTTTTAAAATGGCAGCATTCACTGTTGATTCTGGCCAATGGCTTCACATACATCTATGCCCAAGTTGTGGCACCTGCCATAAACCTCTAGGCCAGTTTGCCTTTTCATCTAAGACTGCCAGGTCAGTTTTCCCATAGGACTGACAGCTAGTTATGCCGCAGGGAACACCCTCAGTCTCATCAACAATGGAGTACCCACCAGCCTCAGTAATCCCTAACTATTCAACAGCTTCCCCAACACCCAACTCAGACCTTGTTGGCAGAGGAAGGGTTGGAAAGGATGGTGGTGGTGATGATGGTGGTGGTGATGGTGGTGGTGTTGGGTGGTGAGTGGCGGTGATGGTGATGATGGTGATGATGGTGATCTCAGGCATGCTCAACAAGTGGTAACAATTGTCAGAGGTGCATTATCCAAATTATCCTGGTAACAACTCTCAAAGGTAGATACTATCATCATCAGTTATGGAAGTGAAAACCGAATGGACCAGTTTGTGTAAATTCCTTGGTTCACATAGGATCTGCTGGTTCAAAGCCCATACTAAGAGCAGTAGTATTATATGATTCTGAGCTCAGACTTCATTAATCTGTTTTTGCTCTGACCTTCTCTAAGCCCAGTTTTGGTCTCCTTTATTCCAAGGTAGAGGCTGGTACCTCTCCCCTCTACATTCCTGGGGGAGAGCAAGCTTCTACATCTTCTTGAGCCTCACCACCTCCTCCATGAACAGACCCCTCGGGAAGTGCTCCAGGCTCATGCCAAACACTTCTCAGCTATTCGTTGGCAGGTTGCATCCCAATCCCCATGGCAAGAACTGAGTCTTCATTCCTTGGGCTAAACCTTCCATCTTCTAGGTCAGGAGAATCCAGCTTACGGAGGCTGGCGATGTAAAAGTACACAGTGAGCGGGTGAACCAAGAGAACGGCAGGGGCTGGTTCAACTGCTAGGTCAGGCCGAGCTGAAGGCATTGAGAGCCCCGCAAGAGCAGAGTGCTGTGCCATCCATTCCCCAACACCTGTTGGACCAGAGGAGGCACAGGGCACTGCTCGATTTTGACCTCTCATCTTGTTACTACAGGAATTCTGTTGGGTTGAATATCTGCACTGGCAACCGTCCTTGGAAGGGAAGAGTTCCATGACCAGCTGCATCTTAGATGTCTGATCACCTCCCATTCCCCGCTGTGGGTGAGGATGGGAAAGCGCTGATTCTCCTCCTCTGATAGATGTAAGAAACTGAGGCCTGGGGGCAGAACGGTTGGCTCAAGGGACCCTCTCCCTCACTGATGACCCTGAGAATGGAAGACCAGCCCCTTGCCCGAGGGCCTCAGAAGTCCCTGAGCCCCCTTAAGAAAGGGGCCTCTTCATCTTCATACCCACCCCTAGCCCCACACACACTCTAACACAGTCCCTTACAACCGTAGCTATGTGACATATTACATTTATAACTGAAAAGGAGAAAATAAAAACCAGGGGAACAGGGAGAAAGGTAACGATATAATCCTAAGGTTTGCCTTATTCTGGAGGCCCTTCTCCTGCCTTCAGTGTGGAACTCCTCCACAGAACTTACCAAATTAGATTTTGGAGGAAATTATAAGTGGGTTAATAACCAGCCAAGATCATCTGCTATGCTTTCTAGAAAGACCTCTTTATGCCAGGTACCTTGCCAAGTCTTCACGTGTGATCAATCGAATCCATCACCACCCTGCACTTCTGCACCTGCCTGACTGATGAGGAGCTTGATGCTGAGGAGTAGAGTGACTTTCCCACCATCATTCGGCAGAGCCAGGATGAAAGGCAAGTCTCTGCTCTGGAGCCTCAGAGAAGATCAAACATCTAACGCCAAACTAACCCATCTGTAGCTACATTCTGCTCATAAAACTAGCTAGAGGCAAACATCTGACTACTCCTCACATACTTTACTTGCAAGGCAAACAGCCTTATGCTTCAACGCCTGGCCCCTGAGTTCTGATGGGCCCCTGGGCTCATGCCTAAAAGATCAATAGCTACAAGAAGATCCCATAGACCCCATGCTCATGATGGTGGAACAAAAGTCAGGCCTTTTGACATGTGGCAAGAATGACACTTGCAAGAAGCAGGTTGGAAGATAGAAAATCCATAAGGATGCCTCCTCACTTCTTCTCTCCGGGAGGCTGGCTACTACGAAGAGAACAGAACAGCATGTGAGAAGTGGTGTCCTGTTTCAATCATCTGCCCTGTTATTTAGTCCTCCCCAAATGCCAGGAGTCCTTTCTTCTTCATCAGTGTAAATCCCTTAAGTCTTCGCATGGATGCTGGCTAGGCAAACCTTGCCATGAAGGGCCAGAGAGTAAATATTTCAGGCTTTGTGGGCAGTATGGTCTCTGTCGCAGCTTCCCCATCCGGCCGTTACAGGGCAAGAGCAGACAAGGATAATATGCAAGCAAACGGGTGTGGCTATGTTCCGATAAAACTTTATTTACAAAAACAGAGAGCAGCCAAATTTGGCTCATAGGTTATAGTTTGCTGGCCTCTAACTCACGTGAACAGCTGAGGGTGGTTTGTCTTATAAATTAAATAGAATATATATCTATTTTGAAAGATTGGTTAAAGCTGGGACTCAAGCTGCAATCCTTTGGTTCTGAAGACTAGAACCCTCACACTCCATCATCAAAGGCTTCCCAAGTTCTGAGAATTTCACTGGCCACTGCCAAGGTGATTTCAAAGACAGCCACAGCCTCCACCTTAGCAAGCTGGACCGTAACAGTCGGCCATGGGCAGCTTCGCCCTGCCGGGTTTGTCCACGTGAGGCTGGCTTGGGAATAGATCACTTTGTGTGACAGTTTCCTCGAGAACTCAATTAGACAGATTCTTGATTTTTGGAAACCAAACTCCAGGGAGAATTTTATCAATTTAGTCCCTCCAGGGACCCGAAGAATTATTTCAGCCACATGCCTTTCAATTTTCTCCATTAAGGCTGAAAAGGAGCTGCATTTTGCAAAAAGACAAGGACATTCAGATCTCAGAACTGGTGTGTCGGGCTACTGGGTTTCCCTGCCCCACGCAAATGGCAGGGTTCTTAGGAGGTTATCCCCCTCAAATTCTCTCCTTCCTCACTAATTTCTGCCACATTACTCACCCCTTAAGTAGTGCTTCCCTCAGGCCAGGTCCCTTGTGGACATTAAATAGTGCAGGTAGGAACTTCTGTCCTGCAAACCCTACTGACCCCAGGCAAGGAAATCCTTGAACAGTGTCTACTCCAGCTGTCAGGCAGGCTGTGACCCGGTGAACGACAATGTCACCTGAAGGGAGGATATACACTCTATACACCCGAGAAAGGGAAGAAAACACAAACTTCCTCCTCTCCATTTACAAGGTCAATACTGAATCCATCTTCAAATTCTTTGTAATTC